TCCAGGGGAGGAAATCCACATGAATGCGTTCGCTGGTCTTCCGCTATCTATCTCTCCATCCCTTTCTTGGTCTGTCCTTCCTTCTCTCTCTTGGATTATTTCTCCATCTCTCTGTGTGTCTGTTTATATGACTCCATCCCCCCTCCCTGGGATCAGCCGAGGGAACCATCTCTGCTTGGATCCGGGGCCCCTGGAACCATGTTGCTGTATCCCGGCTACGGTCTGACCAGTACGTTGTACTGTTTTAGTAAAGGAAAAACCTGCCCACTTTTATACCCCGTTCCCCGTGAAAGAAAGGCCAGCGTTCCAGTCGCCTTCCCCACCAAGCTCAGTCACAAGCCTTTTCTGATTCGTGGGCCGGGACTCCCAGATCCCTCTGTCCCGGAGGAGTCTCTGCCTCTCCATTTCGAGAGTATTCCACTCCCGTTTCCCCGTCCCCACGTGATATTCTAAGGTTTTGCTCGCTCACCCAGTCTGTAATCCCGCCCCGCTTCCCTCACCCAAGTCGTCAACAGATTTGTAAATAAACAAGGATGCTCCCCCCCCCACACACTCCTGTTATCCCGACTCTCTGTTTTCTACTGGTGAGCCCATCCTCTATCGCTGCTGAAATATTACCTCTGACACCGCGGGCTATTAGGAAATAGCCAAGCACGATCAAACTCCTTCTGAATATGTTTATATCCATTGCTTCCCCTTTATTTATCCTGCTCGTAACCCACCCCCCGAAAGAATTCTAATAAATTCGAGGTGGTGGTGCAGTGGCTCAGTTGTTAACCAGGGACTCGGGTTCGATTCCACCCTCGGGCGACCGTCTGTGTGGGAAATGCAGGGTACAGGGAGAGGGGAGGCTCTTAGGAGGGATCGCTACGGAACTCGATGGACTGAATGGCCTGCTTCCCATGGATGTATGATAAATAGTCGCAAACAACATCCCCAGTGGCAGGTGTTAGAACAGTGTGGCCTGTCTCTTTGTCTATAATAAACGTTTGACTCCAGCGGTTTTCCCTAGCCCTTCTGGATTTCTCCAGAACCAGTTAATCTGCGAGTTTGTCTCGCTCCCCGTGCATCTGCCTCTGTTTCTCCTCTCCATCTCATTCTGCTTAACCCCCCCTAAGTGACTTGCTCTGTCTCTATCTCAGCACACTTTGTGTTCTTGTTTTCTGTTGGGTCTCGCTCTCTCGCTGCACTATATACCCCAGGCCAGGACGATCGAAATAACGGATCGGCTGGCCCTTGCTACAGCTCACCAACAGATCGTGATACGCTCGGCGCCTCTGCGCAGGGAGGATTGTGAGCAGATTCATCGGTATAGAACCAACGGGAATATTGATCAGAATTCCAGTCCCTGCCAACGTACAGTGTCCCAGATTTTGGCAGGGGAGGAGAGGACAGCGTATCTAACATGTTCCCCCAAGGTGAAACAGATCGCGAGGACAATAAAACGAAGCAGGCACACCATCTCTGGTTTCAATGGATTTGTATAAATCTCGCACGCCATCGGTATTTATTTAAAAGCAGATGGATCTGCCCCCGTTGCAAACGAAGAGAAACGAACAATGAATTCTTTACAAATATTACAGATTGTTCCAGTTTGGGTAAAATAATAATAATAATAAAAAAAATAGTTGAGTGAGAATTAGTGCAACTGACTAGGAAGGGGATTAGTTCATAGGTGACTCCTGTCTGGTTGTCAGGGAGGGAGGGAGGAAGAGATCACGGAAGTGTGGGCAGCTACTCAGCCTTGGCGCCCCTCACGCCAGATCCGACCATTGCCCTGGAAACTTGCAGCAGACTGCAGGATCGCTGTTCGGTATCCCAAAGGAAATATGCCCATCCTAGCACCCACCTCTCCCCCATAGTGTTCGTGCGGTTTATCAGAGAGGGAGAGCGCGTTATGGCAATAGGAGTAAGGGAGATTAGTGTTACAGTGAGGGGTGTGGGGTATATCAGTACGTTACAGCGAGGGGCACGGGGTAGATCAGTGTGTTAGGGTGTGGGGCACATTGGTGCAGGGTATATCAGTGCGTTATGGTGAGGGGCACGGGGTGCATCGGTGTGTCACAGTGAGGGGCGTGGGGCATATTGGCGTGTCACAGTGAGGGGCACGGGGTACAGCTAGAGGCACTGAGTCACTGTTCCAGGGACAGACAGGATAAAGATTAGTGTTTAGCGGCATCCTGTCACGTGTATTGTTCTGAATACACTGCAACAGCCCACACTAACATCCTTCAAAGGTCAAAGTCACAATCTCTCAAGCCCCAAAAACCAGTAAGGTCAGAGTCATTTGATTAAACAAAACATTGCAGTGGATTAACCGGAACCAGGCAGCTCTGGAATCGATGAGCACTGAACCCCAGGTCCATGATTAAATGTTGCATTGACTAGATAACTGGGGGGG